GAATTCCTATCTCCTACACTTAACTCTTAAGTGCTAATATTTTCTTGTGTTTGCTGTATTCTCTCTTTGTGTGTGTATATACACAAATAGGTAAAATATATATATACAACTTAGCCATGGTGAACAAGATGCCCCTTTATCCCTAGATACTTCAGCAGATATAACCCCCAAACAAGAAATTATCATATAGAACAACAGCATAATTATCAAAACCAGATAACTAGCATTAACAAAGTACTGTTACCTATTCCACAGATTTTACCTTTTATTCCAATAAGTCCTTTACAGCAGATGAAAGTCCAATACCATTCATTCTGTACAGTTGTCATGTGTCTTAAGTCTCCTTTAATCTGGAACAGTTCCTAAATCTGTCGTTGGAGTTCCAGTTTTTTTAAGTTTGTAGATGAGGTTTTTTTTGTTTGTTTTTTTTGTTTTGGGGGGATTTTTTTGGTGGTTCTAGGATTTGAACTTGCCCTACACTTTGAGTCACTCCATCAGCCCTTTTTTGTGATGTGTTTTTTTAAGATAGGGTCTCTCAAACTATTTGCCCAGGCTGGCTTCAAACCATGATCCTCCTGATAGGTAGGATTACAGGCATGAGCCATCGGCACCCGGCTAGATCAGTTAATTTGCAAAATGTCTCTGAAGCTGAGCTTGGCAGATGTTTCCTTATGATGAGACTCAAGTTGTGTTCTTGGGCAGGAATGTCATAGCAGGGATGCTGAGTTCTCTTGGCTGCATCCTATCAGGAGCTATAGTCTTATCCATTCATCCCACTGGGAGCAATGTTAAGTCTGATAATTTGTGTTAGGTGGCACCCACCAAAGTTATTAATGAAGTGATATTTTATTTTTTCTAATTAGCAAGTACCTTGTGGCAAGATGCTTTGAGGCCATGTACATAGTTCTTTTTTATTCTTCAAACTTTTAGGCCATCCATTAGCATTATTTATGATTCTTGACTGAATTCTTGATTGGCTGTGAAATGATGGCTTTCTACATTTTTTTAGTTGGTTTCTTATTGTATGGAAGTTTTCCCTTCTTATACATTCATTTATTTCAATATACTTTCTGAGTTCTTATGTTGTTCAGTGTGTTACAATACTTTATACCATTATTTATTTGATTCTCAAAATGTTCCAGATTTGGTAAGTGGGAACTACTTCAAACTGGCACAATTTGGGGTGCTTACAACCAGCACATAGCAGATACTAAGCATGAGATAATGACAAAACATTTTTTTTTAATCCTTCACCTCATGGAGCTTACATTCTAATTTGAAGGACACAAAAAAGAATAAATAAGTAATGGTATAGTACACTAGAAAACAGTAAGTTTTGCAGGGAGAAAAGCAAAATCAGCTGTAGAGAATGTTGCAATTAGTAAATAGTGTGCAGGGACAAGCCTCATCAATTTGAGTTACATGCACAGAGGGAGGACAGGAGGGTGCTAGATCGCGTGATCCTCTGCAGGGAAAGTCTTCCAGGCAGCACCCAGCATTCCAGAGCAGCAGAACAAGAGCAATTCCTTGAGGCAAGACCAAGCTGGCAGTTTTAGCTGGTGACTGAGTTCACTGAATTGAAGACACACTTGGAAGCAAGGACAAAAGGAGGCAGATCGGTGTCATTGTCAAAGTGCCTCAAATTCACATAGCACATATTCCTGAGGCCTCGAAAATTTTGTTAAAATATATATTGATATTATGACAATTTATTGAATAAATTAGCCACCTCAGGTTTTAGAGATCTATAGAAATAAAACCTGGCTTTTAAATTATGCATCTTCTCTGCGTACACAGAATTCAAACAGCAGGTGTAGCCATATGGACATACAAATGTGAGTTTATGCATGTGTATTAAATAGAGAACAATGAGAAAGTTAAGTAACAAAAGTCCCATGCCACAGGCTTTTCAATCTTCAGACCCCATTAGGGTGTTCAATGCACCCAAGTGGTGCATATTATGGTCCTGAAATCAATGCTGTTATTAGTCATTGTTATTATTAACTCACAGCAATTTCAGAAAAATATTTTGCCTTTTTCCCAGCAGGGACATGAATACTGCCTTGCCATGTATTACATAATGTGAGAAAATTTAAATGACATCTATGCTTTCCTTGCAAAGCTTCCATTTTCTTTTTTTTTTGTTGGTGTTTTTGTTTTTGGTCCATATCTGATTAAAGGCTTCTCTCCCCAGCCCTCTCTCCTCAAATGTCCTGGAGCTATATCTATATCTTGACTTTTCATAGATCATTCCCTATCCCCATCTTTCCTTGGGATGTCACAAGAGCTAGCAATTTGGCCAGAAATCCCCTGATGGTAACAGAGAAGAAAAGTACAATCTGGTCACAGCCAGCAGGAGCCTTTAAGTCAGAAATTTAGGTTGATTTCCTGCCATGCCTTTGATTGACTTCCGATGACCTTACACTGCTCACGCCTGCCTCCACAGGTGTGTGAAGAGTTTAATTAATATTTGTAAATCTCCCTGATTGCCACATATAGAAGGTGGCAGAAAAAGGTAATTTATTATTAATCAGGGGGGAAAAATGGAGAGATTGCTTTGTTCCTTCACTACAGAGAGATCTGTACCCACGATGAGCTGTAATTCTTGCTTTACTTTCTTTGCACTTATGGAAATGCACAGTGCTGCTAATGCAAAGCTCCTACACTGTGCTCCCCCGAATGCCCAGTAAACACTGCGTCCTGGTGCTGTTCCCGTAGTTACTGAAAGGAGTCTTGCTATTCACAATGAGTGTGAGGGTTCATCTAATTAGCTGATTTCAGTTCATTTGACATTAAATAATTCCCCAAATTCCCATATGTTTGAACAATATGTTCAACAAAGGGGATGATTCTCTGAAAGCAATTAAATAGTTATTTTAGGAGAGCTTGTCATCGGTCACTCATAAGCATTGCTGCTATTCCTGTGCATGATGAATACAGGTGACAATTATAAAGGAAAGAGTTTAACCCTCTCTAATGGCCATTGGCAGTCATCCACATGTGGACTGTGCTGTGTGCTAGTGGTAATGGTGCACACTTGAATTTAATGTTATTTTTCAAACCTTGAGTACATCGTTATAGGCTTTTCTTAGATTATTTGCTATTACTAATACATTGCTTTCTAATTCCTTGCTTAAAAGTAAATGCAAATATGTTTTCAAGTTAACATATACTTTACTTATGGAGGGAGAATTGTCAATCTTAGATTTTTCTGGAAGATTTGTTTTTGTTGTTGTTCTTTGGTTGGTACGAGGCCTTATGCTTGCTAGGCAAACACTCTATTGAGCCATGCCCTGAACCCTTTTCTGCTTTAGTTATTTTTCATGTAGGGTCTCATGCTTTGTCCCTGGCCAGCCTCAGACTGTGATCCTCCTACCTACACCTCCCATACAGCATGTGCCATCATGTGCAGCCAGATTGAACTTCTTGAAGACATCTCTTCAGTGCTTCTTGGGGAGGAAGGGAGACTGTAATAGTGTTCAGGTCTATCTTTGATACAGCAAACAAAAGATGCCCCTACTCAGTCTTATTCCCTGACTTTATTGTAGCAGCAAATGGTAGGTAATGACCTCAAGTGTGACTACAACTTGAGAGAAACAGGGGATGCCAACAAAAGCAATTCATAAATTAATAACCTGTGAGATACACTCATAGGAAACTGCTTATACCAGATCGTAGAATAGGTGCTATCTTTTAGAACAAACTTTCAACCTTATGTTGCCCAAGGGGTTGCTCTTTGGATCAGGGATGACATTATTTAAATGCCCTTGCTTTGGTAATAATATCAATCATAGATCTCATATAGCATTGTTCATCAGTGAGTCTTAAATTGCTTTATTGACTGTGTTCATTATTACTATACTTCTTACAAGTGAAAATCCAGAAAACAATAAAAGATCAAATAACTTGTTCAAGATCATAAAGGCAGTTGGGTGAGCATTTGGGACTCTTGAGTTCTTTTCACTGATTACTGTTCTATAAACTAACTCTTCTTACAGTTTGTACTGAGATTTAAAACAAAAGTCATGGACTGGGGTGCAGCTCAGTGGTAGAGCACTTGCCTAGCATGCGAGATGCCCTGGGTTCCATCCCCAGAATCACAAAAAGAAAAAGGAATAAAACCACAAAAATGAAAAGGAGACACTCAATGAGATGTTATTATTCCTTTAGTTAAATTTCACTGTCTACTGTCTGTTTCATGGCTACATTTCCATTATAAATAACTCACAGTACAGAAAAATGTGAACACCCAGTTTGGGTGGAATGAATTTAAATTTAGATGTGAAATAGGAACAAGTTGAAATATATATGTGTGTGTATATATATATATATATATATATATATATATATATATATATATATATATATATATATGTATTTTATATATTTGTGTGTATATATATATATTTGGTATTTTATTATGTACATTTGTAACTGTCTGTTGTACTATCACTGTATAACCTATGTATTTGTGCATTGGCAGAAGATAAATGTTTTCAAAACCCAGAATAAACATACTCAATCTGTGTAGATTTGAAGTACTGTTTTGCTCCATAATAATTTGTTTTAACATTTACTAGCATTAAAAAATATTGCTGAATAAGTTGTTGGGGAAAAGGAATTTGATGATAATAAGATTACCAGATCAATCATTTATATAAAGTTCTTGCCTTTTGTCATTGATATTGTTATCAAAAAGAGTAGGGATTCAGCAGCTGGTGTTTGACTCATGAACCAGGTCTTTGAGATCTTCTATCCCATCCTGTATCTCCAAAGAAGCATTTGTTGGTCAAAACTTAGATTTGAGATGGAGGCTTAAATTCAGTCTGTGTACCTGAGCAGCTAGAGCCAACACCTGTTCTCTAGGCACTACCCAGAAGGCATTCCTGGGCAAATATTTTGCCCAACCTGTAGAATACCCCAGTCTATAACTAAATCCTCACTCGAAATTCCTCATCCTTTACATGTTTCTCTCTCTTCTCTTTTGCCACCCTGTGAAGCTTGCAGTCAGATGGGTCTGAGGTGCTCCTGAGCCCTGAAGTTACCTGTGGTCCTCCTGATATGATTGTCACCACTCCCTTTGCACTAACTATTCCACACTGTGCAGATGTCAGCTCAGAGCACTGGAACATCCACTTAAAGAAGAGAACACAGCAAGGCAAATGGGAGGTGAGATCCTATTATTCTTTTTTGAAAAATGGGATTTGGGTTCTACTGATAGGATAGATTAAACTTTAACCTCTCTTACACAATAAGTCAACCATAAAATTTTTAAGTATTTTTCTTGTTGTCAGGGGTTTGTGGCATGCATTTATAACATCCTCAAAGTATTGGTCAGTCTTTTCCTATCAGAATGGAAAGAGAGGCAAATAATGATCTAGAGCTCTAATACAGGAGTAATTATCCGCACAGGCATGTACATTTATGCCTGTGTACAGGTCTCATTGACTCTCTTCACTCTCCTTTAAATTGACATTATTCTGTGGAGGTGAGAAGGAGGCTCAGGAGAGGCAGGTGTGCTTAGAAAAACAAAATCACTGTATGTGTATCTGTTTTTGTACCATTGTAGGGATTATAACATAACTAGGTGTATACAGGAACATGGTAGATGCTTAATATATACTGTGGAATTAATAAAATGTATCAGTGATTACTAGTGTCTGCTTCCCTCTGTATGTGAGTACATGTAAAGAGGTATAGCACAAGTACAGAACTGAGAGACTACAAAAAAGAGTGCGGACACATAATAGGAGGTTTAACAGCCAGGGAGATGCCACAGCAAAGAAAGACTGCAGTTGAATTATTATTTTAAGTGGAAGCTTTGATTTATCTGTCTGAAAGGAATTCCTTTATGTCCAACTGAAGTCAGTTTGCATGAAATCAGGTGAATTATCTTGTTGGAACACAATGACCCACACCAGCTAGTCCTGGGATCTTGTCTCCCAGGAGGTGCTGTAGGCAAAAAAAGTAAAAGGAAAATCATGTTTCTTTAGGAAAAGTAAATTCCCAGTTGCTGAAATGGATTGCATTTACCCTGCTCGGCTATGTCTTGAAACTACTCTATTTTCTTTGTTCCAGAATGCATTCTGCTATTTATTTGGTCCTGGTACTATGACAGGCAAATTTCTTGGGGCATACGGTTCATAGATGGGCTATGTTTTGGTCTCTTTCCCATTATGTTTTGCTTTGCCTTGATTTTTACCACTTAACGTTCTTCTTCTTTGCACTTCCTCACAATCTTCTACATCCAGATGGTGTTATATTTATGCTCCACCAAACCAATCATACATACCTAAGTTCTTATCAGAGAAGGTAAAATTTTCTAGTGCATCTTATCCAAATCATTTATTTAATGATCCCTGGTGCATGATTTCAGTAGAATGAGAGAGAATAAAATGTTTGAGAGAAAATAAACATTACCTTAAGGATACTTAAAGAGGTTTTCAGAAAAAGATCTCTGCAAAAAAAAAAAAACAGTAGAATAAAATAATTTTGCTTATTGATGTTAATGTTCAACATTTTTAATACAACATTGAACTAGAGGTGGAACTTTCAAAACAGTTTTTATTATAATCCATAAAAGTAGAATTATAGCACACTGAATATAACCCTTTCTTGAGTTCTTGATAGAAGCAGTTATTTGAATGAAAAATATTTAACATCAAGACAATTAAGGCAATAAAAGTGTTCTTAAAAATGTATTCTTTTGTATTTGTTTATTGCTTATGGCCTTATAACTGTTAGGTCCCATCTTACTTTCAAGTTGAGAGAATTTAATGCATCTTTCCCCAATAGGAAGTGATGTCAGTGGAAGATGAGTCCACATCCTGTTACTGCCTATTGGACCCCTTTGCATGTCACGTACTGCTTGATAGCTTTGGGACATATGCCCTCACTGGAGAGCCAATCACAGACTGTGCCGTGAAGCAGCTCAAGGTGGCTGTCTTTGGCTGCATGTCCTGTAACTCCCTGGATTACAACTTGAGAGTTTACTGTGTGGATAACACCCCTTGCGCATTTCAGGTCAGTCTTTTTTCTGTAATTCTTTATGTGATGTTGTGAAAGTAGGAGGCTTCCTAAATGCCCATATCAATGGCGGATTATATTGGTGAGAGTTTGGAAAATGAACCACACCACTGATTTGATCAGCATACCTGTTCTGAAGCAAGAGCCATGACCACTATGTGTTTACAACAATTCAAGAGGATCTGAGGTACTTGTCACTCAAGAACAGACAAGAGTTAAATTAATGCACATAGAGGACTCTACCAAATTATAAAACCAATTAGTAGTATAGCTATAATTCAGAAAACAGGCACAAATATGGTAGAGGATTTGGAAGAGGGTTTGTGAGAACCTTTTGCAAACCTTCATGGACAGATAATGCTTAGGAGCAAAAGACAAAGGGATACTATATCAAGGAAGGAAAATGGCATGAGGCACAAAAGAGAAAGTTATTTGATGTGCAGAGGGCAGTGAGAAAATTGCTCAAATCAACTAGAAGGTGTAGCTAGGAAATAACGATGATAAATCCTATCTATCACCAGGCCATCATATTACATACTGGACATATAGTCTATTAATTGTCAGGGCTTCTTGGGCAGAGATGGTTCAAGGTTCCTTTCCATTCTAGGTACTTTTAATCACGTAAGATTCATTTTAAATTAGCTACTCATGAAGAGTGCAGCTTATTAATAGCAGCAAGGATAATGCAGAACTGCCTGTGTAAGCTTTGCTCATATATAAATAGCATAGCTCTCCTGACACACCTCATTCCAGATCCCTGCTATTCCAGTCCTGGATCATTAAGTCCATTATGCAGAGCATTTCCTCAGTAACTAGATTTTAAGACACTGAGCTGGAAAACTCATGTTTACCAATAGAAAAGAGACAACGACCTGAATCCTGAACATAAGCCAGTAAAGGTGACACGGTGGTAGCCTGCATTCCCAAACCTTGCCTGGTTATCTCATATCTAACACAGGTCTTATGAAGGACATACTTAATCTTTGGCTGCTCTCAGAAGGGGTTTCTTTTTTATTTTTTATTCATATGTGCATACAATGTTTGGGTCATTTTTCTCCCCTTTCCTCCACTCCCTCCCTTACCTACCCCACCCCCTCCCTCTCCCCCCCACCCCCTCGCTATCAGGCAGAAACTATTTTGCTCTCAGAAGGGGTTTCTTGCCATAGGTGTGATATTTTGAAAAAAACTTCAGTGTAAGAATTAAACTTCATCCTGTGATTGTCATTTTATATTCTTCATCTGGTACTCCCACCCTCAACCCAAAGGAGAATTTCTCCAAGAAAAACTACGTAATGGACATTTAATAAACAAAAATAAAGAGCAAATGGCTAAATAGAAGGGTTTACCTTAGGGTCACTGCTTGTATTAAATAGTTATGTAAAATGCACCAATGACTGCAATTGTTTAATTAGTAACTCAGCCAGGTTTCAAAGGCCGAGGAAACTGGAATAGCCATGGAGGATTTCCAGTCTCCTGGCTCACATGAATAATCCACTGCTCACTGCTGTCACGGGGGAGGGGGAGGGAATTATTCATACACTGCCTTGGAAATCAGCCTACAACCACCTTGGACTGTCCTTGGAATAATGGTCTTACTGCTTATGTTATATACCAGCAAGACAGACATTTGCCTAAAGAGTTTACCCTCCATATCTGTCAGGTAATATATTTTTATTCCTGTTGATGCCACCAGATTCTACAACTCAAATGTTCATAGACAAATATGCATTACAGGGGAAGTCATGAAAACAAGGCCCTAAACATAACTTACCAAGCCACTCTCTGCTCCTACTGGCAATTTGCCCTTCTTAGTCAATGCCTGGGAAAATGCTGCTCTCCGTGTAGTAGAATTCAAGTATCTTTCATTACTGCTATGACTTAAATTAGTGAAACTTTCACTGTGCTTTAGAGAAATGTTTTCCAGTGAGGATAACTTTGAACCCCATTTATTTTAATCTGTTCACTGCGTGATTCTTTTTCCTATTATGTTACATAAAACAGATTTTGAAGTTGCATTTGGCTGTACTTGTTATTGACAGGATGTATGTGACAGCTGTCATGAGCAGCAGAGGCCATACCTCCCCTCTGGGATTCTGGGAGATCATCCACCTTGGTTGAATAACTTTTCTGTCTCACAGATAGATTATAATATAACTTGTAGCTTTTCCGAACACAGACTTCATAGTCCAGGAAATAACTATTTACCTTCTAGTCTTAATATGTCATTTTTGTTTCTGAAAGAATATTGCTTTTGGAATTTCCTCTTTGGCAAGTGAATGTGTTCAGAACCTTCAGCAGCGAATCATTGTGCACAACTAAAGATCTCAAATCGTCTGTGTCATATTTGTGTGACTTTATATATGGTACTTATCATAGGGGAAAATGTATAATAACTATCCCACATTAAAATAATCTGAAAAAAAGCCTCAGCAACAATCTATATTTTGAGCCTTTGAAAAACTTCACAGTTAAAATTAGCCCCAGCTTGGGTGGTATGAACTGAAAATATGTGTTTGCTTATTTTCTGTAACCCTCTCAGAATACTTCTTTATCAAAAGTAGTATGTAGTTTTTCATGGAGCATTTGTCCAGGACTTGCCCATCTTGGGCTAGGCATGGTGGTGTAAACCTGGACTGTCAGCACTCAGGAGGCTAAGGGAGGAGGATTGTGAGTTCAAGGCCAGATCAAGCCATGTAGTGAATTTGAGGCCAGCATGGGCTACATAGCAAGACCCTATATCAAACCTCCTCCCCCCACAAAAATAAATAAATAAATTAAAAGAAAGAAATTGCCCGCCTTGGAATTTCTTTCAACTATAACTTTAATGAAATGTTTGTCATGGTTAGTAAAAAGACAAGCATGGTTATAACAGCTGTTGATTATAGCTCAAAGAATTGATGACAAATAGATACTCAACTAGAGTTTTGCTCTTACCCAAGAAGGAAGATTGGTTGAAGAGCATGTTTGCATCTTTCATTTCATTCATATCGCACTTAAATACTTAAATAACCATTAAATACTTAAATAACCACTTTTTCACTGGAAGACAGAACTGGGCAGGGACCAAGCAACATAATAGCCTCACCAAAGAATGTTTCTTTAAAGAATTTTGGAAAACTAAATTGAAACCTTCTGTATTGAAACATCCTTCCCCTATACCTTTTCTACAGGTATGCTTGCTTCTCATGTGTTCCACAATGACCTATCTGAGTAACAGTACAGCATTTTTTAATGACAAAAGCAAAATGTTTCACCTAGCTAGCTTACACATAATTAATGTAGGCTCAGATTTTTGAAGCTCTGTTATGATAAGTACATCTAAAAGTGTCTTGATGGAAAATTAAATCAACCCAGATCTGTTGCTAAAAAATAAAAATGTCACCTGTCTGGAGGTGAGAGAAGGGTGAGAAGAGAAAGGCCGCTGACTTCCTGCTTCTGCATCTGTCACACTGAGAGCGGCCATTTTGTGTTTGTGGGTTTGACATTTCCTCCTCTGAAACATTCAAACCACGGGGTGAGAATTGGTGATATATTTTAGAAGTAGTAACATTTTAAGACCTGTTTCTTGCTGTTGTGTTTTATGAAACAATGACATACACACAGCTCAAACAAACCTTGACATAGAGAATGCAAGGAATTAAGCACTTGCCCTACCTTATCTTAGAAAAGAAAAGATAACTTGTTTTTTCCTCCATCACTCCCAGCTCCCCTATTCAGTACCTCTCGGTACTCATTACTTACTTGGCATTAATGTGGATTTAGAATCTAATTTCAAAGGATTTCCTCCAGATGTAGTTCTTGTGTTTATCAATACTGCAACCTTGGGAAATATTGTTCATGTAAAGCATTTAAAGGAAAACAGCACAGCAACATAATTTGTGTGTGTGTGTGTGTGTGTGTGTGAGTTCAAACAGTTTTGTCTCATAAATATGTAAACTCAGCCTGCCTGCTTTATAGCCCTGAAGCACACCTGAATATTGCTGCCTGTCTCATTAAATCAACATAAAGAGCTTGGTGAGCCTCAAAGCACAAGTTTCTTCTGGTCACAGCTTGGAGGACTGAATGGCTTGCAACCCCCAATGTGAAATGAAGAAGTCAAGGGCCTAGTAAAACCACCATCCAGAGCTTTTAAGTACATTTTATGTACAAGAATCCACCAGACCCTATTTCCTAGTTTCATTATCATAGATATCAATTAAACAATAGAAGCAGAGATTCATCAGGCAGTCCTGGCACATCAGAGACACACAGGAAAAATCAACTGACTATCAGGCCTCACTTTCGGGGTGGTACATCCATGCGAGTGATTCAGAACTACTCAGGAGAATTGTTGGCATCACTGATTCCCAAACCTGGCCAACAGTGTTGGAAAACTATTTAAAAATACAGATGTCCAGCCAGACATGGTGGTGCCCACCTATAATCATAGCATTCAGGAGGTGGAGATAGTAAGATTGCAAGTTCAAAGCAAACCTAGGAGGACTAGAGGAATGGCTCAAGTAGTATGAAGCTGTGAGTTCAAGCCCCAGTGTCCCTAAAAGAAGGGACACTTAGCCTGGGCTACATAGCAAGTTTCAGGCCAGTCTGGCTACATAATGAGACCCTGTTTTAGAAAATAAGCAATTAAAAACAATGAAAACAAACAAACAAAAAAACACATCCAGGCCCAGCCACTGAGAGTAATATACTAAGCCAAGGGAAGTTCTGCACTGTGTGTGTTAAATGCATTTCATTCTATTTTAAAGTTTGTACTTTAGGAGTTTATTTCTTTAATTCCAAAGCCAACTGTGCCTTTGCAAATATTTAAATGCAGTGCTTAGTTCATTATTGAGTTTTTTCATTGTAACAATTAATTGTTTTGTTATAGAATTACTATAATTGCTTAATATTTTGTGCAAGACTAAGAGCTACTGCTAATTGTATAGAGTTGGTTCAACACGTGTAGGTTAAAGTAGTAAGGTTAAACAAAACAAAAAAAAAGCAAAAACTGAATCGTGGTTGTGTTTAAATTGAGGTCCCTAAAGCAGAACTTTTTAAAAGATACTCTTTTCCTCCATGGTAACTTTAAGTAGATAAAATCTTTTAAATTCTAACATCCTCCATTCTGCATTTCAAGGAATGTTTAGACAGTGTTTGTAACTCTAGGGCAAATACAGAGGACTTATGTCATCTTATACATACATCTTGCACCTGTGAGAAATTATTTCTGGGCTAAAAGTAGTAACAATTTGACCTTCCCAAAACTCTTTAAGAAAATAGCAAGCATAGTATCAGAGAAGCAAAGCAATCAGTAGAAAAACAGTTGACTATGATCACTTTGCACAATACTAGTCTTTGCCAATAACCATGAGACTTCGAGTAAGTAACCTTCTTGGGGAGGCCTCCATGTTTTCTTCTGTAAATAAGGTGCTTACTGATCTAAATAGTCATTAATCTCCCTCTTAATATGACAATTCTGTACAGTTTCTAAATATTAAAATAGCCCAGTACTCCACTAAGTAATGCATGTTCTTGAACCAGTCATCACCATCTCCTGATGACAGTTTATTTCCTTATACATTTAGGTGGTTAAACTGAAAGGAAAGGGGGATACTTCAAAGAGCCTAGATCAAATGTGCTTTAATGACTCAACACTGTTCTTATACTGTGGCTTTACCATGTTTTTAATAATCTCATCTCTTATTCATACCTGTCTCTAACCTTGTACCAGTATTGCAAGAAGGTTAATATACTATCATGCTTATTATTATAAACCAAGGTAAGCAAAAGAGGCCTAAAGAAAATAAGTAATTTGACAGAAACCACATAAAAATATTATTAGAATTCTGTACTTCCATCTTTTATAAGGTTAGTAGTCTTTTTGAGTATATGTGGCCTCCCAGCACATTCACATATACCTTGAAACCTAAGCAACATGCTCTAAAATAAAATACAGCCTTTTAGCATGACAAAGAAGAAGTTATGATGACCCCCTGTCCTATATTTTTATCATCTCCAGCCACATTCTTTTACCCTAACCTTCTCTCCCAGCTGGGTCTGGCCACCGTGTCTTTGTACACTCACACTCCCCACTGCCAACTTCTACACCTGATATTGCCTGCGCTGTTATGATCATCCCCTCTAATGCCTTCTTGGCTTCTTCCTTAGCCTCCCAGGCAAACACATATCATGGTACTCAAGGACGATATTGTAATCACATGTCTACTATTCCAACGTCACCAGGTGTGAGCTCCTTGTACCCCCAGTGCACCCCTCAAGCATAGCTCTTCTGGACACTCACTAAATCTCAAAAGAAGGAACCATGGGGCTATATGTGTGGTTTAAACTATAGAGTGCTTGCTTTGCAAGCACAGAGCCCTGAGTTCAAACCCCAGTCCCACCATAAAAATAATTAATTAGCAAACAAATAAATAAATATGTATTTTTCTTAAAAGATGGAGCCAGTGATCTAAACGATAAGAGACCTAATGTCTCACCAAGTAGGCATAGAGAATCTATTCTCTTTCTTCCCCAACCCTGCCACTTTGCTTCTACTCTTTCATGTAGACACTGGCTACCGTGTTCTTATGTTCCACTCAGGAATCCACAGTGTTGTGAATTATCTGCCCAGTACAGTAATCACTAACATATATGCACGTTTAAATTTAAATTAGATAAAATAATTTAGTTGTGTAGTTACTCTAGCCACAGCTAATAGCACTGTGGTTAGTGGTTACTACATTGGACACCATGGATAGAGAACACTTTTATCATCATAGGAAGTTCACTGCTGGCCTAAAAATCCTAAAAGTTACCTTCTGTTCTGGAAGACCAAAGAGCTAGATAAAAGGACCTTGAAATTCAGTCATTTTATCCTGAGAAAATACACTGGCAACATATGAGCACATGTTATAAAAACACTTAAAGAAGTGTTTTTATTAATGTTATTAGATAAACCTAGAGTTATGGCACACACCTATAATCCCAGTTCTTAGGAGGCTGACACAGGAGGATTGTGATTTTGAGGCCAGCCTGGCCCACTTAGCAAGACCCTGTCTCAAAATAAAATTGAAAAAAAAAAGGTTGGTGCTAGGATGTAGCTTCATGATAGAGTACTTGCCAAGTATGTCCAAGGCCCTGGGTTCAATCCCAAAAAATGTGTCATTATATATTTAGACGAGATAGATAAGAAAAGCGGTAAGGCTGATTTTATCCACATAATTGTCATGCAAATTTATTGTATTTATAAACATATTTACCTTATTTCTTACAACCTTTTGTAGAATCTGAGGAGGTTATAGGCATGAAGAATGTTCACTGTTGTATTCCTCCTATCTCTGCAAGGAAATTTTAAGTCACTTAATGGTAATTTTTTTTTAAATGGATTTCAGGTGATCTCTTATCTCCAGCCACACTGAAAGTCTTACTTGCACAGTAATTTAATATTTTACAGAATACATATTTGTCCAATACATTTCTAGCTACCACAAATTTAGAACCAATTAAATGTTTGCTCAATAGAATCTGTGTTAGTTATGTCTGTATTAGGTATAATTACAAAGATCTCTCAGTGAAACATGCATGAGTATTTACCTCAGAAATTCAATTTCTTCTTTCTGAAGTCAAGCTAACTTGATAAAGAACTTATTTTTTCTTGGCCTTTTAGTATAATAACTTTTATGAGTATTACTACAAATAAACATGCACTGTGGATCATTTATTTTGAGCCCAAAAAATAAATATCAGATAATGCCTGTGTTAGTGAAGAATAGCTAGAGCTGAGTGGAGAGGGCCATTCTACTTTTATTGTGACATATGATGTGTCATCCAGTGTACAAATATATCCCTTGGTTATGGTCATATCAGAATGAAAATTGTATAGTCGTGGTAACTCAACTGTATTAGCGTCTGCTTGAAGGCAGGAAGGTCTTCTAGTTTTAAGGAAAGGTACAGTGTGTGTCTCTTATTTGTGCCTCTACAGCACAAATAAGAAAGGACAACTGCCTCTTGCTGACCAAATCTTATTGTTCATCAGCTCTTAGACAGACCTTCATCCTGAATTGGAGGGATATGGAAATGTAAAAGAAGTGTGTGTGTGTCTTATGCTGATTGTCCATTTCTGGGAAACATGGTAGTGAGCATTCAGAACATGGAAGAAATGTATGTGAAGCTGTATACCTCATTGCTGTGCCTCTTTGTTGTTGTTGTTCCTATAGGAAGTGGTTTCAGATGAAAGACATCAAGGTGGACAGCTACTGGAAGAACCAAAGTTGCTGCATTTCAAAGGGAATACCTTCAGTCTTCAGATCTCTGTCCTTGATATCCCTCCATTCCTCTGGAGAATTAAACCATTCACTGCCTGCCAGGTACTGGCCAAATGGACTCCTCACAGAAAACAGCTTTGCTGGAAGCAGCAAGCATGTCACAGACCCTAGGGATGATCCTCTTCCTGCTCCCCCTCCTTTAAAGTATGGATTTCATCTTCATACTGTCACAGAGAAATAACAGTGTGGGCCACACACAGGGAATGAAACATGCTGTCATAAATTCACAGGTTTCTAACAGGTGGGAAAAAAAGGTGGTAGCATGTCAGGTAATGTGGTATTTCTCCTCTCCTGTTTGAATTGATGATTGAAGATGGCAATTTAACAACTTAAGAGCAAGGTTTGTGTGCTGGGTTTTTATTAAAATCAATCATTATGAGACATCGCTTTAGCAGTTTCCGCAGTAAGTAAGCAGCTGAATGTTTTAGGGTGATGATGTTCAGTTACAGAGAACTGTAGTTGGCTGTGAACAAGAGATGTTGCCCTTCCTATGTGACATGCTGGCTGCCAAAAGAATTGAGCAAATGAGAAGGAATTCCAAATCGAAAAGCAAAGATGGTGGAATAATGTCTCTTGATAGTTCTTATGTAAATATATATAAAGATATCTACGTATTAGTGTCCATATGTCTCTTAATAGAGGTTTTTGGTTTTTTTTAACATTACAAGGTAACTGTGTCTGTAGGTATTTTGAGTACATGCTTAGCATGAAAAGATCTCTTACCAGCTTGTGATGCTACCACTGGAATATATGCTATTTCCATTGGAAACAGCCAGCAAGCCACCATAGTTTCTTAAGCCACCATCACCTGCACGTCAATGTGACAGGACATTTCCTTACCTCTAGAAAAGCTTCTGGTGGACTCACATTGACCTAGAATCACAGGACATTTTTAAGAGCCCTGTGTTGTTTTTTTTTTAACCTTTCCATTCTTACAGTATTCATTTAAAAAATACAAAATCTATACACAGGTATATGGCTTGTTGGAATAGCAGTGAACCAAATCACAAACAGGAAATGTTGACAGTTTCATGATAGTTAGCAAAAAAAAAAAAAGTTTAACTACCAATCCTTCCCACTTCTAAAATTCAGAAATTTCAAATTGGACAAGGCGGTATCTTTCCATTTACCGTTCAGACTTCTCATTACCTTGGGAACTGTCTATCCTGTATCGTTTTAGTTCATTCAAATAACATAAACATCTCTTAGAGCTTCCCGAACAGGATTTCCCCCGCTTGGGTTTGACACATTCAGCAGATTTCCTTGTGGAGAGGGGTTTTCTACAAATAAATGTGTTGTTTATGACATTCAAGACCTAGGTGTCTTTGCTTTCCAGTAAGCAGTATTCAAAGTTTTTAGTCCAAATTGAACTTCAGAGTATTATTAAAACAGGTCCTAACAGTCATGCAAATTCTTCTTATTAATCTTTATAGGTTATCAGGGCCTCATTTCACTGGATCTAATGCAAGTGACTCAGTCCAAAGTAACTATTAAGTTTAATGCTTGAAGTTGAAAAATGGGATGAAAAAGCCATTACCTTGCAGCAGCTCTTAAACAGTAATTCTAACGTCAGAGATACCAAAAAGCAGCCCTAAGCCAGAGAGGCTGAGGGAGCTAGTGTCTGTTGTCCTCAGAGGATGCAACAGGGCCAGCCGAAGCCAAGGGGCATTGGCTCACAAGGAATCCCAACAAGCTTTACTGCTGGGATGAGCTGGAGCCCATGGAAGTTGTGAACATGTATCAATATTTGCCTTTTGTAATTGAGCATAATTTGAAAGAGTCTTGGAAGGCTGAGAAACAATTTAATTTTCTCTGCATCAGGAAGCTTACCACTGAGTTTTCATTTCCACTTCATTTTTCTTACCCAAAATGGCTTTCTGCTCTATTCCACCCTTCTCTTCACCACCCCTGCCCACCAATTTCCATTCCCCTTTCTTCTCTGGAATCCCTAGCCTGTGTGAACGCATATGGGGCTTGGCCTATAGCTATGCTGTGTTTGTCCCAGGCACTAAATGTAAGCAATTTGGGGAAGGTTTGTGTTCAGCCTGCTTGAACCATGTATAGAACATCATGTGTACTCAGACACGGTGTGGATAACAGAGAATGGGTTTTCATTTGAACCTAGTGGCTAGGAACAAATGGTCCTTTTTCTTGTTATCTCAGAGATATTGTAGAGACAGAAAATCACATATCCTGACATCATGTGTAGGTCTCTGCTTCAACTGGTAAATCATCCTGTCATCTTCTAACTCAGTGCTTAGAAAACCTCAGGTACTATTGTCATCTTTCTCTTTCTCTAACTCCAAATCAGGAATCTAAGAATTAATATTGCAATTGACACCAAACTTTACTCTTCTAAGACACCTTCCTGTTTTCTTCTGGGAATAGAATTTCTAAGGAAAGAACAGGCTGGGGAGATGCCCAGTACACAGAATTGTTTGCTCATCTGATGCCAACGAACTGCATGACAAAACTTTTTAGAACAATGTGAGCTCAGATTGTGTCCCAAGCTAAGTAAAGAAGGCCTATATATGTAAGGACTACATAGGTTTAAAATCTTATTGATTTAGATTCTGAAGGATTACAGTTTATGGAATATCATACAATTGCCCTTATTGCTTATGAAGCTAGGTATGATCAGTAAGAGGAAGGAAGGGCTGTGGGAGTTCTTCAGAGATCTGGATGCATTGACTTTAGTTCAAAGAAAAACTGAAGGGCTGGGATCTGGCTCAGGTGGTAGAGCACCTGCCTAGCAAGTGTGAGGCCTAGAATGCAGTCTACCATACTGCCAAAGGAAACTGAGGCCCAAAATAATTCATCATTCCCCATTTTCTTCTTAAACTTTCAGTCTTACACAATTAGAGATATACTACTATTGCCTACTTAGCCCTGTCCTTGTCCCCAACAGAATTAGCAACACTCCTAGAGGCTCCTATCCTCAGTAGGTTAATGAGATCTCAGAGCTACTTCATCATGGTGTCCTTTATTCCTTGCTGGCTGTGGGGTGGGAAAGCTGTAATAAACAGTTTACAATCAATTATTTATTTATTTTTAAAATCCATCCAAACACAAAGTCGGGTTGACACATTCCTAGGATAAAGGCAGCTGTCTTTTCAGCATGCCATGAATCTTGGAGAACTCAGTGTCTGTCTCCTGCTAGGATGTGATTTACATTCTCTCCATCTGCTAGGAACCTAATTATAATGAGAATCAAAATAAAAACATTTCCAGAATTCTTTAAACACCCATAACTTTGCCATGCTTTGTCCTCCATATTATATTCTGCATAATTATTCTCAGCTTGATAAGCATTGTTGGTGATTTTGTTTTTGTTTTGTTTGAGGGAGAGGGGGTTCTCTTTCTTTCTTTTTTTCTTTTTCTTTATTTTTGAAAAATAAAAACAAAGATGACTGTCCTGAAAGAAGACTAATCACAGTACTTCTGTTTCTTTTTTCTTTTCACAATAGAAATAATATTGTAGAAAAACAAGATGCAGTTCAGAAGTCAGTATACAGAGACATTGGTGTCTTTATGCTCTAAAAATAACTCATATTTGGAAAGTAATGAAGAGTGCCTTAATTCGTTTCATCTCCTTTCACAGTGTTCACTCAGTTGTTTATTCTTTTTTTTTTACGTTGTACATTGGTTAGATTGCCCCCACCATCTTCCCCCTAACCTCCTCCCTGCCACACTTAAAGCATTTCTAAGAGGTTTCATGGTTCTATTTCATGTATGTATATGAAACCCATCAACCATATTCCCTCGCCTTCATTCACCCTCCTCCCTACCACGAGTACCTCCCCCCATACACTGTACCTATTTTACAGTTTTTAATTCTAAAGCCAATACTCAAAAGGGTTTTTCAGTGTATCCCTGCTGTGAATATGCTTAACTTTGATTTTTATATGTTTTGTTGAGCACTATTGGCAGCTGCTACTCAAGTCAACAATAAAATTATTCCTTTGATACAGTCTTAAAATCAAATTTTTTAATGTTTTGCTGTGTGCAGTGGCAGGAAAAAACAAAAGAGAGGATTTTTTTTTTCCATACTGACTCTCATGTCTTTTTGCAAGGAAAGATTGTCTCTGCAGTGGGCATTGCTCTCTTACCTTTCTTCCAGTGTGTTCAGGAGAAAATATAGCAGGAGATACCAGAGAAGACACTTTTAAATAAATGCCAAGTGCCATTTCTTTTTATAAAAGGTAAGAATTACCAAGAATTCATAGCCACTGCAGAAAATATAGGTTTGCTTAAGAGCTGGACCTTCAGCTAGGCCCCCTCTAGCCCTGAAGTCCAAGTGCCTATATTATTATACTGCAATGAATTAAATTTCAGTTTAGAAAACAAAAACTTCCTCAATTAGCCAAAACACCCATTCACCTCAGAGCCCTATGTCATAGGTTCTTTCACTGAAGGGAATGGTGCAAAGAAACACTATAAAAATTGATTTGGAGAAAAAAGTTCTCATAAGCGCCAACAAAAATGACAATGGAAAGACCAAGTCAGGGCAACAGATGATGGAGGTCCTGGAAGGCCAGGTAGGGGACTAAATGTACAATCACAGCCTTAGGAAGCCACTGTGATCCCCAAAGCAAAGGATCATGTGGTGATGGCCAAGGTCCTAGGTAATCTGATCATGTCAGTGTTTCCCACCCATGATGAAAGGTAAAAAAGAGACCATACTATTACTTCCTGAAGAATACCAACCAAGGGCTTTCTGTTTCCCTCAGTTGTCAAGTTCCTCCTCCCTTGTTAGCTCTGTCTAGTAGAGACTGAAGGCAAGAAGAATGGTGAGTAGATTACTACAGTCAGCTATAATGAGGTATAATGGAGAGAGAAAGTTGGAAAAGAATCACAATGGGAGACAGATGGTGATAACCACTTTTCAAAAGGTAAAGTTTCCAGAGAGGTAAAAGTCAAATCAAATTATTTTGAGTGCTTAGAAGTGCAATGCCAGGGATTGATGGTAATGAGATAAATACCAGAGATGTTATTAGAGCCCTCTGCAGAGAGACGGCAGTTGGTCATGTGTGAGCAGATGGGATCTTGAGGAGTTCAGCAGGCAGAGAGAGAAGTGTAGGAGTCTGAAATGTGAAGAGTTACCCATGGGTTGAAAAAACAGAGCGGACTGAGGAGAAGCAGGGATGCAACAAGGAGAAATGGCAGAACTCTCATATTCCCCCAAACTGGCTCTCCACTCTTTAAGCATACTTCATTCTAAAACCAACCCTTCCTTGCCGGTTCTCCCCAGAAGTATCCAAAATCAGGATCTGTGAGACTTCTTGTAGAGAAAAATTAGGAAACAAGTTATATGAGCAAGTGTGAATGTTAGAGCTCAAGAATAAGTAGGTCACTCATAGTTACTCAAAGTGAATAATTTTAATTAAGGCCCTTGGTCTTCTAACACCTGCCAGCTTCATCACCACCCAGCCTTCAGAGTCCCAAACTTCCAAACTTCATGCAGCTTTTGCCACCTTCAGCTTTGGTATCACAGAAAATTATCTTTCTCACAACAGATAAGGGAGCAAATTAATGAGATGAGCAAAAAAGTGAGAAGGATAATTACTAGAGGGTGGACATGCATGGCCATTGTCAAGGGCTCCAGCCACATTTGAGAAGAAAGGAGACAGCTTTTAGTACATGGGAAAATATCAAGGACATACTGTAAAGTCACAGGCCTGAGCACAGTCTCCTTGGTGGCATGCACTGGCTCATATTAGAAAAAAGGAAGAATTTCCCTCCTCAGTAAAAATTGTATTTGTCACTCAACTGTCTATAAGTCCCTTGAGAATGAGAGCCAAACCTAATTTGTTATTATGTCTTGCTTATCTAGTACAGGATCTGGCCATTAGCAAGCACCTTACACATAACTGTGGAGTGGATGAATTGAACAGTGGGGAATTGGCAAACTAGGTCACTATGGGGTGGCCCAGTCTCTCTCTGGGATGTGTGGATGTCTGCACAGTTTTGCAGTAGGTCTCAACTATTATGCTGGATACATTGTCCACACAGTCCTGCAATGAATTTGTAGCATGGGTGATAAATTCTGGTCAGTCAGTACCTCAGCGTAATTTTCATTTAAATGAGAAGATATCATCCTAACCCAGGCTTAGAATGAAGGATGGACTAGAGTAGTTGTAAAACAGGAAATAATTTTTAGTGGAAAAATGATGATTAATTTTTTGATAGTATTTTCTCTACTTGTGTGTGTCACCAAGTGAAATCTGAGCTCTTGCAGTGTGGTTTTGGAACTCAAATGTTATCAATTGGAATTGACATTAATTACTTCTGTGTTGCTTGGCATATGCTGGAACATTATTTCTACAATTCCACCAAAGTCTCCTAGGCAATTATCTCTGCTGCAATCATCGTTGTCATGATAATAATTATTGCGATTAAGTCTCCATTTTCTGTTCATTGCAGCCGGGTTCTGCACACTATACCTCTCTCGTATCCTTTCTGTCCCCTGCAGGAAGTCCCATTCTCCCGTGTGTGGAGCAGCAACCGGCAGCCCCTGCACTGTGCCTTCTCCCTGGAGCGCTACACGCCCACCACTACCCAGCTGTCTTGCAAAATCTGCATCCGGCAGCTCAAAGGCCATGAACAGATCCTCCAAGTGCAGACATCCATTCTGGAGGTGAGTCCTTGGACTACCCTTTTGAAGGGACAATAAAAAAAAATAATGTCATGCCTTCTCAGCTGTGCTAATCAGGTTTGGAAGAGCTTCAGAGTGTACAAAGCCTTTTCATCCTCTTTATTGATATGGGAAAAGAAACTTCCTCAGTCTGAGGATTGAGCTGAGCTTCGCAGAAGGTAGGGAAATTCAACCCATCAGAGAGCCAAGTGCCTGTGGGGGGACCTTTGGGAAGGAGCAAGCACAGATCTTTTTGTACACAAAATGACAATCCATTTCCATGGTCCATAGTAGACTTGGGGTGCTTGCTGTGATGTGTTATAGGCCAGATCCAAATGGTAGAGACACATGCCATGAAGAGGCACGAAGTTTCCACTGGGCTGGTTTTCGGCTGGTCTGACTAGGTTTTTAGAAGTCTGTTGCCTCGTGTGTATTTCATCTTTGGAGCCTGGAATCCTTGTCGTCTTTACAATATCTCATGTCCTCCAGGCACAGAGTTCTATCTATATAGCCACATTTCCATTAAACCTAGATTCCTCAAAATAATGCAGTCAGTGCCACAGTATCCATGGGTTCTGCTTTCACAGATTCAGTCAGCCACCTCTAGAGAATATTTGAGGGGAAAAAAAAGCTGCATTTATACTGAACACATTACAGGCTTTCTCTGTCATTATTCCCTAAATAATACACTATAACAACTATTTACATAGCATTTACATTTTATTAAGTGTTATAAATAATCTAAAGATTACTAATAATATACAGGACTTACATACAAATACTATGCCATTTTATATAAGAAACTTGAGCATCCTCAAATTGTGGTATCCCCACGGGGACCTGAAGCCACTCCCCTGAGCATACCTAGGGCAAGAGATAACAGTATAGGATGAACAAGGTATATGTTAATCCCATTCTGTGAAATGGGGAAATGGAAATACAAATAACAAAGGACCTTGTCCAGGTCATATTGTTGCAGAAGGGTAGAGTTAAAAAATGAGTCAAAGGAGAATTCACTTGGGAACATTTGCAAAATGACCCCTGATTTCTGCCAGTCTCTTATTTGCCCTGAACTATAGAATGACTCCAAAGCTTTGAACAATAGCATATTCTTCTGAATTGTTATTTAGCGGCAGCAGGAGAGAGTTAGCAGAGGGATGTGATCTTTCTACTTAGCAGTTTTAAGATAATTCCTGACTAGTGTAAGAAAACACATGGTTGACCTGTACAATAAATCAAAAGGTATACAGATACATATTTATCAATATATAAATAATATGTATCTCTTAATTTAGTCTTGACAAAATGTTTAACACATTTATACACGTACAACTCAATTTCAAGTTTTTTCCTTTGACTATTTGTAGCTATACAGCATTATTGCTTCTTTTCATTCTCATTTCAATTCATTGTTTATGCAAAGTGAATATTGCTAATTCCCCAAATAGTTTTTCTGAGGAGCGGATGGCTTTCCAAAGAATTGTGCCTTAAAATTGATAGCTGTCTTAACTGACATGTTTATGTAGTATTTGCATTTATTACTGCCAATTAGCATTTTTGTGTGAAGGAGTTTTGATGGGGAAGGTAGATCCAGAAACCTGGGGTAGGATATTTTTAGAGCCTCTTTCTTGAACAGTCCTGGCATATTTAACACAATACATTTCAAAGTAAAATAAAAAATTGTAGGAAAGCTTTAAAGTTAAAAACAAAAAGAAGATCCAAAAAGAACTTGTTTTCAGAAGCAATCAGAAAAAGCAGAATGTAAAGATGCTCTGATCCAAATTGTGCTACTCCTCTGGTAACAGATCCACAGAAGAATTCCAGGTTTATAAGTTTTTGTGTTTTAGGCACATGGATAGTGGAAATCAACTTCTGCTATTACAGGCTGTTTATGTAAGAGCAATAGAATAGTGTTTGTACACTCGTGATGCCTTTGCTCTTTGCTTAAATAAATTCTTGAAGTCCACTGAAGGAATATTAGCTAATAAACACAATCTACTGTTTGCCTCCAATTCCTTTTCTAATGCTTCACAAGTCACTTTGAAATGTCTTAAAGAAGGTGATGTCACTTTCTTCAAAATAGGAGGCAAGTATCCGAATAATATTCAGATATTCATTGTTGAGCTACAGCCATTGGTTTCTAGGCTACTGCTTTTGGAAGACTTATTAGCCCTTTGATCCTGCCAGGAGCACTTTATTAATTGCTTCAAGTGTAAGTGTTACTGCAGGAATTTGACACAGTGCATCTCATCTCCAAGTACATCTTAGACAAGTCTGATTTATTAACATTTCTTATGTCACAAAGAAGACAAATAACTTTTGAAACCCATTATATTGTGGTACCTTTCCATTTGCTTTCACATTTGTCATATAACTATCACTATGTTGTGGATTAATTATTACTGCTATCACAATGCTACATGACATAAAAATCTCAAAGAAGTCAACCATCTTGTCCAAGGTCATTAAACTAATAAAATGGGAGTCAGAGTATAAACTAAAAGACGACTACAGGATCAAAGTTTGGCCTCCACTCTACATTACTTCAGGACACCAAACCAGGCATGAGTCTGTATCGGTATGGGTTAGGGATCATAGATCAGTTTTGAAAGTCTGAGCAAGGTGGTGTGGATATCAGCATTTACATGATGGACTAGAACAAATTTCACTCTATGATCTTCAAGAATAGAACAGATATCTACATGTAGACTTGCTGCAAATGGTCTTGATTGAATGATTCCTCAAAGTCTTCCCACCTCGGGGGCCTGACTCCTGGGAAAAGCATACATCTGATGATACATCTGATTAAAAAAAAAAAAAAAACTGTCTTCTTTTCCCTAAAAATGACTTTTCTATTAAATGGTTGAAGCAAAAGGGAAGATTGGAAAGTGCCCAGAAAGGGTGATTACCTGGGGAAGAAGAAGGATGCATTCTAGACAGGAGTCTATATCAGTCAGTGAGTTAGAAGTCATGAGTCGGTTTTGAGGGTGCATCATACTTCATGGTTGTCTCCAGGCTGAAAAAGCCTACATTTAGTTGGTTTTAGTAACTTAGTAACTAGACTTTTATTGATGAAAATTAATCACAATATGGAACCACAGATGTTCAAAAACATCTTTGAATAAATTTTCTTTTGAATACCTCACTCCCTGCCCAAAGGTCCCATTTCTTATATTACTTGCATGGATTATCTTAGAGTTTTGCTTCCTATATTTAACAACAAAACCATGAAGGTGAAGGGTATCTCTTGTGTGTATATGGGTGCTTATTTATTTTAAATGTCTGAATCAATGCAATGATCATCCTCATTGAAGGGATTTGTTTCTTTATGTATAGATAAATAAATGTATAGATGTGTAGTATCACATCTATCATATCTTTTCATGCCTGTTAATCTAAATAGTTTTCCAAATAAATGCAATCCTTGTTATACTCAAAACTAAAAATTACTTTAGTAACCAAGATACTGCATCTCTTGGCTTTGTAGAGTGGCCAATATTGTATCTGTAGAAACTGTTCCCCTAGAATTTACCCCTTTGAATTACCTAATATTATTGCCAATTGATACTCTTCAAAGCAACACTATCTCCCACCTAAAAATTGTAGACTAGAACAAAACATTTTTGCTCACTCTGAGAAGGGAAGCACCCCCAAGTAATTTATTTCATCTTTCCTTATTAATATATTTTTGAAGACTTTTTCTTGGTAGAAATGACTTAAATGGGAATCTTACATGTTACAATTTTCCCTTTAAGCAATTCTCTTATCTTTCCTCCCAAAGTGGTGGAAGTTGGGGATAATTTGTCTGTTATAAAATAGAACACTAGGAATCTTGCATTGATTTACAACTCCCTAAACTAACCAGGTAGCAACCGCTTATCTCAGATGTGCAGAGCATGAAAATCTACTGTTCCTCTGCCTATTTAAATTAAACAATCAGAAAATGTGATGTATCTACAGGATTCTTATTACTTGGTCCAGATGTCTTTTAGAATACGTCATAAATGTTATATAGAGTATCATCCTTGTGCATGGAAAATATTTAAACTTGGAAACTTTAAGAGGGAAATGAAGCCCACTTATTAAAGTGTAGTAAATAGAAAACCTACTTATTTTCAGACTCAGTCCTATATAATACCTTAATACTTTATTCATTTTTAAAGATCACTTTCTCCAGATTTATTTTATGAATCAAAGTGGTCTTTCTTTTGCCAACAATCAAGGCAAAGCCTGGTCAATAATTCTCAGGTGCCATGAAGACTTCTAGAAACCAATTCTGTGTCTAGAAATTCTGTCAGTTTCAAGCCACATTTTCCCAGGTTACCATCCTTTGGTCCCATTTTACGGTGACAACTACCATGTTAGCTTGCATGGATTTCTCTCTCTCTCTCTCTCTCTCCTTCTCTATTTCCCTTCCTCTGTAGTTTCAATCATAATCTTTAAGTCAGAAAATACATAAGGAAGCCATTCGTATTTGATTTGCATTTTTAGAGGCTAAGAGAAATTTTACAAACCATGATAAAAAAATGATGTATCTTGTAACTTATTTTATGCAGTAAGAAGTTGAGTTGGTTTATTTTATAACCATTCAATATATCAGCACAGAATTGTCCACTTTGCTTGGAATAAGTACCTATGCACCCAAAATCTGTTCAGTGGCTGTCTACCAATCCTCCAAGAACAACTCAGCCACTTCCTCTGTGAAGTCTTTCCTCCTATAAATTCTTGAAGCATAATACTAACATGTTTTTCTTAACCATTCTACTCTGCGTATTTCATAAAACTTGATTTGAAGCAGTGAAATGTGTGCTCATATAGTTATCAGGGTATCCAAATTCTAATTTCAGCTATGTCCCAAACTATCTCAGTGACTTTTGGCAACTTTCATAACCTCTGTGAAGCCTATAAAACTTGCAAAAGGGCTGATTAGGAAATTGGGACTGAGAGAGGTCAGATACCATCCAGAGTCACAAGCTAGGGAGTGCAGAGTCTCACTCCAAAGCAGGATCTTTCTGATTCTTCAAGTCATTTTTATGCTATTAGAACATATTAACTGCAAATACTGGAAGGGTTTCTATGAGAATTGTTCTGTAACATATAAGGGAACAGAACTGAAACCAGAAGGTACAATCTATTATGATAACATATACTTTGAGTTTCCAAGAGGGAGATGTAAGAGGCAGCACTTTTCACATGCATTTGACCATGATGCTGCTCTGACTTGGAACATCTGAGGTACCAAACACAGCCTTAAACCTGTATCTGGATCCAATGACTACAGAAAGAGAGAAAGCACTGTCCATCATTCATAAAATTTCTGCATCACCCAGCTTCCTCACTTAAAAGATTCTTGAAGATTCACCACGTCTGATGGTTTATAATTGTGTGAGCATAGGTGCTAGCTGAGAAGAGACACCACAGTTATGGTTCAGGAAGGCATGTAAAAATTGAAAGTCCCGGGAAGATTACGGCAGAATAGGGCATGGTGGTGCACACCCATAATCTCAGCTACTCTGGAAGTAGAGATGGGAGGATCATAGATCAAGAACAGCCTGGGTAGAAAAGTTAGTTAGACCCCAAGCCAGACATGGTGGTATACATCTGTAATCCCAGCTACGTAGGAGACATAGGTAGGAAAATAAAAGTCTGAGACCAGCCCAGGGTAAAAAACAAGAAACCTAATCTGAAAAAAATAAAGCAATAAAAGGGGGACGGGGTTGGAGGTATGCCCCAAGTGGTACAGCACCTACCTTGCAAGTGTGAGGCTCTGAGTTCTATTCCCAATATTGCTCCCACCTTCCCCCTATCCAGAAAAGATTAGAGCGGGACTCAGGATCATTCAGAAAGGGCATGTGTTGATTTGAAGGAGGACATAACAGACAAGTTCCTAATGCAAAGTTTACCTTCTTGGGGTCTAAACTGTACATTTATGACATTTATTATGTCACAAGTCCAGCTGTGGTATAACTAGGTTCTTTGGCCAGGATCTCATAGGCTGAAATCAAGATATTGGCTAAGAACCTATTCTTATTTGGTGCTGAGAGTCCAAGCTTATTTAAGTTGTTGGCACAGATCAGTTCCTTGTGGCTATAGGAACTTTCTGGCCTTTGCCAGGAGTATAGGAGCCATTATCAGCTCCTTGCCACACATGTTCACTGCTTGCTTTCTCTAGGCCAGGAGAAGGGATGCCTCCAGGGCTGGGGGTGCAGTTTAGTCATAAAGCTAGATTCTGTCCCCAGTACGGAAGAGTGAGAGAGGGAGAGAAGAGAAGAGAGGGTGCAAGGGGGAGAGAGAGAGAGACAGAGAAACAAAGAGACAGAGAGAATGAACACTCCCCAGACAAGAATTATCTCTTCACCCTTTTGAGGGCCTCCTGATCAGGTCAGGAAAATCCTTCTTAAGTCACTCAAAGGAACTGATTCTGATTAGGGACTTTAATTGCTTCAGCAGAATCCTTTGTTTTTTTGCATATAATAAACATAGGTGTGATTCCATCAGATATGTTTTAGTCCTTAAAATTCTGCGAGTCCACGTCAGTAGGTACTGAAACATTGTAAATTTCCATGTGATTTCATTTTGGCCATGATGACCTCATCTGTGTGTTATACTGAAATGACAGAGCCTCACTGGACAGCTGCAAATTAGAAGCAGGGAGGGAAGACAGCGAGAAGAAGCTTTCCAGCCTGTGCACTGCAACAAAGATAATCTGCCTGTTGTCTCTAACCCATGACTGGGTCTCTTTCATCAAAGGGATTTAATTCTGAAAACAAGACCAAGATGTTTATCATAGAGTCATATGGCTAGGACTGGGGTGCAGGACAAACTTTTCTATGAGTCACATCCAACCCGTTCCCCTTGTAGCTTCCCTGACCAGACCTCCCCAGCCAGCTGTTCTGATCAGCACATCTGTCTTTGGATATGATAACTATCAGAAGGTCATTCCTCATACTGAACCCAAATCTGTCACTTGGTAGTTTCTTTCTACTAAATTCTAACATCTATCCCTGAGAGCCTAGCTTTGAAAGAGAGAAAGAGATCTATTTGCTCTCACCTGACAGCTTCTTTGGATGTGGGAAGCTGGTGTCTGTTGACTCTCCCAAAGGGAGAGAAGCTATTGTTAAATCTGTAGGACATAATTTCATTAGGCCACTAGAGAAGTCTTTTACTAATTTGAGAAGGAGAAGGGAACTTGTCAATGTATTTTATAGAAGTCACTACGACAGAGACAAGCATTTTGTGCATGTGGGTGTTAACACAGAATTTTCAAGAATAAAAATGTCCATCGAAATCCAGTCATGCTTTCTTTATTTTGTTTATAAGAGTGGAACGCGAAAACCCATCCACTTTTCTTCGCAGCAAGAGGACAGCGCCTTCACTGCACAGACTGGCCCCAAACCTTCAAAATCCCTTACTCCAATCAGACACGGATTTGTGCTACCTTCGATACCCCCAATGCCAAAAGGCAAAGAAACTGGCAGATGTTAGCACAGAAAAACAGCAGCAACAGGTAAATGTGGCCAAACTTCTGAAAGATGATTTGGCTAAGTTAGAAAATTAAAAAAAAAAAAATTAAAGTGTCCTAAGAGTAGCCACAAGGCCCTGATATCTCCAAGGAAACTCCTCTGGCACTGTCACAATAATGGGGTCCTGCTAAGGTAAACCTGGTGTGTGTCATTTTCCCAGCCCATGCCACTCCTGCTTTGGGGAGATTATGGGATAGCCCTACTTTTAGGTTTTTTAGGTTTGCTAGTTAGGTTCAGTCAAATAGAAGCTTAGAACTATATCACCTTGGTTCATGGAGAATGATCAGAGCATAGATTAGACTGGTAAATACAGACACAAAGCAACAATGACTTACACATCTTCTCCACCCATTAGGTAGCCCTAAGTGTTTTATTTAGCACCTAACAAAGGACCAGGCTCTGCCTGCAAAAAAGTGGGTACCTCGGTACAAGGAAACTTTGAAAAAGGAATAACACTCAGATTGTTGCAATGGGACAAAGGGCCTTAAATAAGCCAGGGTTACCTGAAACACTGTGAAATGGGTATGCTGCTAAAAAGTGACAACTACTCATTTGCTGCACTAACACCGCAGGTGAGTTGAGAGTTGCTTCGCTGAGCAACACAGATGGCCAGGCAGGTTTTGGCTCATCTTGAGGGATGAGCAGTGCAAATGAAACTGCTTCTCTCTCTAAACCCCTTCTACATTCCACCAGAAATGAAATAGAAAAAGAGAACAAGTTTTGCCAGAGCCATTTTATTTTTCCTTTCCATTGGTATATTGGTGTTTTTTTCTTTCAAGACAAAGCCCTTATTTTTCCTTACTATTTGAACTTGCTCTGTCATTTTTTATTTTTTGTTCTTTATTTTCAAAACAGACATTCACTATCTGACTCTTCTTTCTTTGAAAGGAGGGGCATTATCTGCCAAGAAGGATGGGTGTGCTATTCCTTGTTTCAGAACGGATTCAGAATCCAAGAGCACAGGGCCCCAAACTAAGAAAGCAGTGGGAGGCATTGCTGACGCCAAAAAACTAAATTCACAGATAGGCAGGCCCAAGAAAAATAGATAACATTCTTGAAAAAGGCATAATATTGAAAAAATGAAAGAATACAAAAAATATAAGTGTACAAGCAAAAAAATTAGGTTCAATATTTTTGCAGCAAACTTGAAGGAAGATGAGATGTTCATTGTGGCCCCATCGAGCAACCACATTATGTCATGTAACATACTTTCTGATTGATGATTGATATGAATAAAGAATCAAAAAGTATAGCAAAATAATTCATTTGGTAGAGGAGTGGGGAAAGAAGAGAGAGAAAGAAAACTGGGTCTGGGACTCAAACTTCTGCACAGCAGCCATGGTCCCAGTCACTTACTGCTATGTTCTCCTTTCTGGAAATGTAAATTCATAGAATTGGAAACATATGAAGACTTTAATCATCTCACTCTAAAGGGAGTTTACGATTTTTAACCTACATTTAGAGAACAGTAATTGCCTCTAAAGAGCATTTTAGGTTTTCTACATGCTGTCATTAATTTCAGAATGGGCAATGGTGAGTGTTCCCTGCCTTTTCCATTTAAATTCTTCCATTTACGTATTCCCGGATAAGACCTAACAGATGTGGTGTCTCCAAAGTCCCCATCCATTTCTGAACCTTGCATAGAAGGGAAGTTGCATTTCAAGCTGGTGACTAAGTATACAGCCTTTGTTGGGGGAAGGGGACTAATGAGGCAGCCACATCTAATGCTGCAGCAAGACCACCCCCTCCTGATTTAAGGACATAAAGCTTGGGACCCTTGGTGACTTGTTGGTTTGCTTGATTTTCCGTAAGACCCAATCCTCCAGGAAGCCTAAATTCCTTTGAACATTATGTCTTATTCCAAATGGGGGAGAGGAAATTTTCCAACACGGTGCCGGCTGTCGAGAAATGAGTATGCGTTATCCGCCTTCAACATATATTGCTTGTTTTGTATTCTTGGAGTGTCACAATGGATCCCAATGATCGTATCAATAGTTGAGGGTATAATGAAGTATAATCTATTTGGAAATCCTTCCTGGTAAGTGAATATACGGTCAGTAAGAGGCATTTCATACCTTCCTCTTTGTTCTCTAGCTTTGCTTTCAAATGAAGCCTAACTCTACCGAGTTGAAGAAGTGAATGAGGAAGGGCTCAGCAAATTTTTTTTCTATAAAGAATCAGATAGTAAAATAGTTTAGGTAAATATTAATGTATATAGTAAAAGGGGCTGTGTTGCACTGCTCACGAACTGTCAACTCTGTCCTCTGGAGCATGAAAATGGCCAGAAAAACACAAAAAAACGAACTAGAAAACCACCACAACACAAAGACGCATTGGCTGTGTTCTAGTAAACTGTTTACAGAAACAGGCAATAGTCAGAATTTGGCCTACAGTCTAGTGTGCTTGACCCCTGCTTAAAGGAGTCCTGCCCTCAATTTTTAAAACTTCCCTAGGACTTTTTTTGCTTCCTCGTCAGGAATAATACCTGGAGCTGAGGATTCCCGTTCAGCTCTGCATGGCCAAGCACCTTCAGGAAGGAGAGGCGGGTGTGGTTTCCGGCAGAGAATGACCAACCAACATAATTTAAGAAGCAGAATGGAGAAGGACTACTCAAAATCACCTTGTACCCTGTTTATGCTAATCTCAATCTCATTTTGCAGAAATTCTCAAGTTCTTTTTATATTTTCAATGTTACTTAGCAAAAATATATATCTCCTTCCATGGACATAGGCGGGACAATGTGACAGAGATGGAAGGTTTTTCAGATGTAACCCATTACAATTTCTTAAATTGTATAATCCACAAACTACTAGTTTTGCTTTCTTATGACTAGAATAATATAGTATGGAAACTAATGAAATTTAAAACATCAATCTATTATTGTTAATATGGATATATCATAGGGTAAGAAAGCATTTCAACATGCTTTGGGATTTCATTAGACTTGAGGTCACAACAGAAAGGATGAAATTCACACACATGTTCTTTCTATTAAGGGAATTCAACCTTCATTTGTAATGACACTTTTTACCTGGCTCTTCCCTTTTCAAGCTTCACAGAAATGTAAAAAAGCTTGCCAAGGCACAGCATAAATCATGAAAGGAAGAATTGTCAAAGGGAGTAGAGGAAGACATTTGCTTTTATTTTTTGTTATCAGTGAAAAATATTCTCTTGCCCTCGCCTCTGGTAAACATAAATATAAAATGTGCACTCGGATGAATATCGAATGTGTTTGCCAATAAGCTTAGATCTAGAATAGGAAAGAACAGCCAGGGAGTAAAGTTAAAGCTTAGCAAATGATGAGAATGAGAAGGACCATAGAGTTCTGGTCTAAGGCTGGCAACATAGTGGGCCCTTGCAACTTGCCTAGCAATATAGGTCCACACTAATAAGCTAAACACTAGTCCTGGCATAAATAATGTCATAGATTAAAACAGCTGCCATTATAAGATTGCAATGAACAAATATTGGACTGCTACCAGCATCCTTGCTGCATTTCAAAAAGCTGGAGTTGCATATTTAGTCTGGAAATTCAGCTACAGCAGCACTATATATTTCTTGACCACCTGTGTTTGGTGGGTAAAATGTGTTGGGAATAGTTTTGCTGATGATTTAGCAAATTAAATAATATCTGAAACTACCTTTTGCCAGCAGTATCCCCCCACAATGTGAATATCTAGCATTTTGTATTATTATAATTCTTAAATTGCAGTTAAGCATATATGGATAAGGTCCATACTGCTTTTGGGGAAGTTCAATGAATCATTTCTTGATTAATGAGGGGAACATTTTCATAGATATTTGGAACCGCTAAAAGTTTGCACTACTCATAAATATAGACAGGTATAGAGAATCATGTAGCAAGGCTAGTCTTAAAAAGAAAACAGGCTCTTGCCGAGTGGTAACGAGTTTAAGACTTCTATCTTTTCCCTCAGATCTTAGTACCCAAGTTCCTAACTAATTAGTTTCTTCTTAAGGGTTTCATGCTTCAAGAAACTTGTGAACATAACCAGCTTCCGCCAATGTTGTCTGATGTGAACAGATGCAGGAGATATGGGTGTATGGAGTAGAGGGGAAAGCAGGCCAGACATGGAAGAAAGCATTCCAAAAAGATGGAAAGTAGTAGATAAATTACATCTTATTAGCAGTTTTATTGCCCAAGGCCCTCACTAATAGGATACTTGTCTGAAAATTTGTAAGCCCTGCCAGGGACGTATTTCTTACAGTCTTTATATAGGTCCTCAGAGACAAAATATGACTAGTTAAAACAGACTTGAACATATTTCAGGAGTTGGGTTTAAAAAATGGGTGAGAATGTTGTAAAAATTTTTGAGCTAATGAAAACCTCAAAACTCAATGGGGGCAAGCAAAGTGGTGGCTGTAAACAACTTGTTTTTCCACGAAATCCCACTCTATTAGGACTTTAATGAAGGAAGTCAGAATCTTCCTCGGCAGTGAGGTCTCTAATCTTTTCATTCCATCGCTTATTAGATCTGGATTCAGAAGGAAGGCAGGGAGAATGGCCATGAGGTGCAGTGGGAAAGGACAGTGGAAGGTCACAGACCAAATTGGTATTTAATCTAGTTCGCCAATAGCTTGTTCAGAATTCACTGGAAGGTATAGCAGTCCAGAACAGGCTTCCAATGAAAGAAGAAAGGAACTGAGAAGAAAGGGAAAGAGGGTACAAGATGATACCATGCCTGTTCATTTTCATTCCTGTGTTTGGGATTTACTATTATTACACCAAACTCAAGCTTTTCTTGGTTCCGCAGGCCTGAAGTCTAATAAAATGTTAATCCTAAATCTTTTAAGTAATAAAAGTGGGGTGCAAAGATGGCCATTTCCAAAAACAAAAAACAAAAAAAAAACTCTTCATGGCTCTTCTGAAGGAGAATTATAACAGACGCAAGAGCTCTTTTGCAGAACAAAATAACAATCATGCTTAATTCAGAAATTTTGCTGATTCTGACCCAGTGGACTTTTG